TAGATTTGCATTGACTAGGCTCTGACCAATGTAAAGAAGGAGCTTTTTTTTTTTGTGGAATTGGTATTTGTAGAGTGCATTGCGTTTTACATTTTCAAGTGTGTGTTGTCGTGACCACACCAAGTCGATAAACGTTAAGCTTAAACGTGTAATTTAAGAGTATCGGTGGGATTGGAGGGAACGCGGGGGGGGGGTTGCGTTTAAGGGTCGACGGGGGGTAGTTATTTGGTATTGTGACGGTTTTCAAAGAAAAAAAAAGTACAAAAAATACAATTGTGTAATAATTTTTCCGGTCCAATTAAAACCGATGACCGGGCGCAACGCTGGAATATTACTATTTATTGTTAACAAGTCCCCGGGCTGTGCCTTGCCTTGCTGCCTGGCCGTCTTGTAAGGTTATACTTACCTGCGAGCCGAGTGTTACCGCTGGCGCGTTCCTCGCATACCTCGTGTGTGTGTGTATTGTATATATACATATATATATTTATATATATATCCTACACACCGGGGAGAGACGTGCGGTACACCATGATGGAATGTCGAGATCACAGATCCAGTAACCACAGTGTGTTTTTTATGCCCCTAAAAAAAAAAAAAGTAAAAAATTCTGGCGTGTCAATCAGAGCCGGACGCGCGCGAGTCGGCGGGTCTCGCACTAATTAATACGTCTGACCTTTTTTTTTTTTTCTCTCTTAAACGCGCTTAGGTTTGTTTTATTTTCTATTTTTTTTTTTGTTCATTTCGAATACCGCACCAATCAGTATTATTCCCCCCCCCCCCCTCCTCCCCTTACCCGAGCGCACCTAAACAAATACACTGGATACGGTTTTTGTCAAAAAAAAAAAAAAAAAAAATCGTTTCCCATAATATACGACCGAAAAACGTGGCATGATGATTTGTATGTGTGTGTGTGTAATAATAATTATTATTTATCGCGAGCAGACCCCAAAACGGTCGTCCGTTGACAAATTTTCCATAATTTACGAGGCCCCGAAAACAAACAGAGTAGAGTAGAGGTAGGTGTACCTCTATCTAAACATTGTAACCGGGAAGATTTTTTTTTTTTTTTATTTAATTTTTATTTTCTACACCTGAACAATTACGATATATATATATATAAATATAACTCTCACTCTGCTAAGTTAAGTGCCGGCGGTGTGTATCCTACCGGGTTAAATCCGTCCTGTCGCCAACAGCTATGGCGCAGGCGCGCACCTGGCCAAACAGGAACTGTGCGTACAGACAATGATGCGGCGGTGACAACAATAATAATAATATTACAAGGTATACTGTTGTGTAGCTGTTGTAATTATGATTATTACCGTTTTATTGGAGAGCGGGTTTTTAGGTTTGTACTCGACGGGGTTAAAAAACGTGTGCGATTTGACACGAGCCTGATGAGTTTTGGAGATTGGAAAACATTTTGTCTTTAAAAATCATATTTTTCGTTGATTTTGCGAAGAGAAGCCGATTTAAAACATACTCTACCTGCTTTACTTCTGACGAATTAATCACCACAACGAAGCAGTAGGTTAGGTTTACCAAAGTGAGCAATATCAATAGTAGTTAACATGATTGTTTAACATAGACGTTGGTTCGTTCGTTTTTTCTTAGAAAAATTTCTCGTTATTTAGAGAAATTGTTTTTAATGTTTTATTAGTACCTACCTATCTTTCAGGAATAAATTGAATCTAATACCTCTCAAAGAAATGATGTGCAATTATAAAATATATTCTTTGTTCAAATTGTGTATTTAATTCAATTGAATAATGTGATGTTGAACGTTTGACATTTTTTTTGTTTGTCACAAACACAGAGAGGTAGGGTTCGATAAATTTTATTTTGGCTTCATTACAGCCCTGTCTCTCGATTGATCAGTGCAGCGTACCTATTCGGGTGAACCTTTTTTTTTTTCAAACCTAAAAATCCGCCATTTAAATGTATTATTATTGTGCGTGCCGGGTCTGCTGTCGAGCAACACAAGGGTGTGTGTGTGTGTGTGTGTACCCGTTGACGATTTTTTTGATTTTCCCACACCATAATCCTTGTATACAATGCGGTGTAATTGGGGTGGGAAACACGTGGCCCGGTCGCATGTGTATTTATTTTGGCGAGAAATTAAGCCTGCGAATGACTCGGCCGTTGGCGCAAACGCTGGGGCGCGCGTGTCCGTCCGGCCGCGGTGGCGGTGGTGTCAAATTCAGGCTTGTAATATTATTCTTAGCGCACCAGAGCAGCAGCAGCAGCGACCCATCGCCCCTTTTTATTCATCATCAACATATTATTATTATTATTATTATTGTGCCCACGAATCGCCGCTGTCATACACACTCGGTTGTGCCGGTCCCGGGTTCCTTGGAGCATTTCGTACGCTGTTAATTGCAATTGGCTCGAGTTTGGCCAAGCCAAATTCGGTTAGAGAAAACTTTTTTAAAACGGCAAATCGAGTAGTCTAAGTTTATTGACACCGGGACAGCCGTAGTCAAACTTTTTTCAACCCTTACCACCAGAAAACGGGTTCTCTTTAAAAGGAAAATTCCCCGCTCGGTCTACCCGGGCTAAAGGGCTAATGTGGTAAGGGCTTTCTCGGTTTTCACTTTTACACAGTTGTGAGATAAAACGTCACGCGGTAGAAAACGATGCGGCCGTCGCACGTGATGAGACGGCGGTATACTGTCTGTGTATATCTATGATCTATGTATAAATGATTAAGGCTTAGTAGACACACACACACACACACACTCGGGTCGTACATAATTTAATAGACGTATGTGTACGTTGTTCGTTATCAATATTTCATAATACTACCGTACCGACACCACCCGAGTGTCTAGTAGAGAGAACATGATGATGTCTCTCGTTTGTCGTTGTTTAGAAAATGTCACCGCGGTTTTAAATAATATATCATATTGCGAATCTCCCGGGGGAGAGAAGAACGCCTACCCGGAGTGGTTTGTGGTTCGACTGCGCGCAAAAGTCTTTATAATATATAAAGTACATTATTGCAGGTACGAAGACACACACTGGCGGCCGAGTTGTGGTGCATCGTCGTTCGAATAAAACGTTATCTAAACAATCGTACATTGTTTGCGAGTAAAAGTTATTCGAATCGAAAATGTGTTTATTCGATTAATTCCAAACATAATTATCGTTCGAACAGTTCGTTGTGGTGTTTCATTCGAATAAGGATTTACACACGACTCTGTCGTTTGTAGTGTAATGTATATATATATATATATTTTTTTTTTTTATATTTCACATATTATAATATATTATTGTGGTTCGCGCGAGCTGCTGCGCCGCCGCCCCCCGAAGGGTTGAGTTTTTGTCGTCGGAAAGGATTTCCGCAGTCGTCAAAAGATAGAGATGAATAGACTTCCGGCAACGCGATTTACCGAAAACAAATATTTATCGTTTACCGCCGCCGTTTTGGATATATAATAATAATATACGATGACGTGTGTCTAGGCTGTGCTGCTGCATATACGACCGTGGTGCGTACAACAGAGCTATCAAAAAGAACAGCGCCAGGTGATTTTGGGTTTTAATCCTTGGAAATGATCACAAATTATTGTGACGGTAGCAGCCCCATAACCGTGTGTGTGTGTGTGTGTGTGATTCCCTCGTGAGTTCTGGTTATCTCCGTAGTGTATGATATCATGTACAATACAATATATATATATATATGTGTACACCGTGTAAATATGTGTACCGTTCGCAGTGCTACCTTTCGGGTGCAATAGTAAACAGATAATATATACAATCGTGTGTGTGTGTGTATATTTATGATTACACATGCGACACGACGAGAGCTGTGCCGGCGGCGTAAAAAAAAAACAAATATTTGTTAAGAGCTATTTTTTTTGTTGTTTTTCTGTCCACGATAAGATATAATAATATAATTTATCTGGCGACCGTGTAATTTTTTTTTTTTTTTTGAAAATATTTTTTTTAATGTTTTTCAATCCGGCCTGTGTTGGTTTTTTTTTTTTGACATGCCGATACAATAATATAACGGAGGTCACCGCGAAGATATTTGTCCGTACGGTGGTCTTGTCGGTAAAAGGGACGAGCCCGGTCGTGTCGCGTTCCCGGGGGACAACCGTGTGTATCCATAGGTATAGACAGACACGCCGGGAAGAGAGAAGCATTATTGCTTTCGGGGTGTGTGTGTGTGTGTGTTTCTTTACACTATTTACGGTAAGCGACTGCGGTAGGATGCGCTTTTCCCCTTAATCGGCGGAAGTGCCAGCGCGTGCATCCCCCGGGACCGTATCGTTTTGACGGGAACAAAATGTTTTTGTATACAAAGTCAATATATACATATACACATACACAGTAAGCGTGACGTGCGCTTTGTGCTTTTATTTTCTCCGTCTAATTTGTAACGTTCCAGAAATTGTTGACCCCTTCCCCCTTGGCTCCCACTTAAGCTACAGGGGAACACCACCACCGCGTGATGTACACAGTACCGTGTCTCGTCAAGAGCTTTCATTCGGCCCATAAACGACCATGTCGGTGGTTTTCGGTCGTTTGAATGTATTATTCTGTTGCCAATCTGGCTATCTGGACATCTGACCATCAGTGATGTGTGTGTGTGTGATTCGCATTATTTGTGCACATCACTCCCACCAGTAAATCGGCCGTTGATTATGTCTTGTAATTGTAATTAGGTACTTAAAATAAACAATAACTATTTAAATAATTATGTTTGGAACTGTTCGAATATTTATATTTGAAAAACTACTCGATTAATGTGTGCTATCTGGATTGTTATTATTTAGATAACGTTTCGTTCGAATATAAACTATATTATTCAATTGATTATGTTTGGAACTGTTCGAATATGTATACTTGAAAAACGATTCGAATAACTTTTACTCGATTAATGTGTGTTATCTGGATGATTATTATTTAGATAACTCTTGCTTGCTGCTCTCCTACGTTGCTAACTATTGTTTGCGTTATTTTTTAAATGTTTTTTTTTTTGTTTTACACAGAGGCCACCTAGCTCGTCGACGGCGTATTCCCATCATCCCGGCCAAGACGACAGCCGACACCGTACTCAGAGTCCGGGGACACCGTTGCAAGGAAGCATGGGGGATCCTCACGGCGAAGGTGTGTATATTAATAATAATAATAATTGAGACAATTTTTTTTTATTGTATATATTTTTCTATCACATTACCTTACCTTTGGGCTGTGTTAAGTTATATCAAGTCGGACGATACTATTGTCGTTCTCTCGCCGGCGTCGGCCTGCCCTCCTCGTCTCTGTCTCGGCGTGTAAATACCCCCAAGACCCCACGAAACACTGTTAAACCGTATATTATTATGTTTACCGACATGTGTAGTGTGTCACCAACAGCCTCTCGATCTCGAGTGGTCCGCAGCGCCCACTCGAGCAACCGTACATCGGATCCCATTGACAGATTTTCACAGAGCCACACTCGTCTCGAGTGTTTTTGGTTTTTAGTTGCCGTTTGTTGTGTGTGTACAGTGTACACATATTGTTATATATATATATATATTACCATGGGCGAGCACGACATCCCCCAACAGAGAGAGAGAGAGAGAGTGTGTAGAGCACAAGGAGACGCGAGTATGGAGATTTGATAATTTTTCAAAATTCCTTTTAGTTGGATGGACCGTCGCCAACGGGGTTGGTGGTTTCCCTTAACGCCGTTACGTGAAATAACGTTTACCGGATATATATATTTTATTTAAACGTGTAAAAAAAAAAAAAAAAAATCAAAATTGTTTATCCGAATTGGTAGTTAACGACACCGAGACCGCCGGGGTCGTCCGTCCTGAACTTTAGGACGTTATTACATGACTCGTCGCGAGACTGCCGCCAAAGTTTTATTTTAATTTATAATAATAATTATTATCATTCGTTTTTTTTTGAACCACCGTGCCAACACGTCACTCGGTCCGCGATGTGTTCTGACAGCTGAGAAGTGTAAAAGTACTTTGATTTTGCACGCTTCTTAGCACAGTTGCACATCTTACCCCGTTAAACGCGCGTTCAGCGCCATTTCTTCTCTCGTCCCGTGGTTTCGACGTCGCTTGTTTAAAGTTAATAATCGTATTAATAATAATAATAATTATCATCATTATTATTACTACACAAGTAGTAGCAGTGCGCCGCCAGGAGGGGGAAAACTTTCTTACGTCTCTCGGCGTATGCGCCCCCGGATTGTGCTTCAACGAGCAGTTTGCTGTCTTAAAAGGTTTTGCCGTCAACGCGATTTCACACAGACGTGTCACAGCCGGGGTACTGGGTAATTTGAAATTATTCATATTCATGTATACATGGCGGCGCACTGCTAGGCCAACGAAGGCGGTATAATATAACTATGGCGTGTCGAAAAAAAACATTGTAAATTTTATAAAATGAACTAAATAGTCATATTCCTCGACTCTTTTTGGAGAGCACTCCATTACTAACCACTTTTGTTATGGCCCTTCAGAGGCGGCGGTTAGGTGGTTAACGTACAACAGTGACGATCACATAAACTAAACGTTTAGTTGACCACCACAACGTTAGCGCACTGCGGTCGTTACTCATTACCATTTTGATTTGTGTGTATTTTTTTTTTTTTTAATCATTTTTAGCTCGCCCCTCAAAGACGACGGGGGTTTCATCGTTTTGTATTATCACAAAGTGTGGCCACCGTGTACCGCGCGCGGTTATCATAGCGAATATTTCTCTGACGAAAAATGTCATTTTTCCGCGTTACCTTCTCCGCTATTACCCGGGGCATAATATATATATATAGGTAAATAAAAATGTATGCGAACGACACAATCAAAAGAGGAGCTCTGCTCGGTTTAGGCGTGGAACGGAATGGAATAATAACGACGACGACGACGGTATTTATCAATTTTATTCGATCGCGTCCATTAAAGAAGAAGGCGGCGTTTTTCACCTTCACCCAAAACAGAAAAAAGAAGGCGATTACCACCACTCTGTACGCGTTTATTTTTTTTTCCCCTCGGCCGACTGTTTTTATTTTATTTACTGATAAGTGCCCCCACCCCCCACCCTCTCCACCCCCTCGGCCACGTCGACCGGTCGAAAGTCGGATCGCGCGGGGTGGCATTACCGATTAAAATCCTATCCTCGCGCGCGCACACACGGGGCGGCGGGGGTGTGTGTATAATGACGGGTTTTTTTTTCCCTACCCCCCTATCTCGTCGCCGGGCGGTAAAACGACTCCGGGGGAATCCCTTCGCGAGATCTAATTACTTTCGTGCGAGGGGTGGGGTGGGGGGGGGGTCGGAAAGACCAGATAGGGGTCGTCGCGCGACAGTGAAAAATGTGTCGCTTTAAGGTCTCCGCCGCTCTCCTCCGCTCCCACTCTTTCCCGGCGCGCGTGATAAGTCCTTCTTATTCTTCCTTATCGCGCCACAAGTCTTTATTTTTTTTTTGTTTCCGTCTGCCCTTTTTCGTTTTGAATTTTTTTTTTCATTCATTCATTTTTTTTTTTATATTTTGCGCCTCTCATTTAGCCAATTATTATCTCTCGTCCGATTCCCCCCCACCCCCCCAGTTCCTCTCCTCTGATATAAAGTTCATATTTTTTCCACTTTACCGATTGATGTGACCCCCGGGAATTTCCAAAACGACAGACGGGGGGTGGGGGTGGTTTTTTTCTACTCGCTCTTCGCTCGCAGACGGCGCAAGCCAAAACGCCGACGGAATAATAACGATAACGCTAGACGCATATATGGGAAGAGGAGGTATTTATTTATTTATTTTTTTTTTTGAAAAGAAAATTTTCAAAATTATTTTAGCCCGGTACACGTTTATTTTTACCTGCCGAGAAATAGGCGCTCTATTATTGTTATTATTATTATGCGTTTTCGTCCTGACAATACTCTTGATCCCCGTTTTGCCGTTCTATTGTTGTTGCACGGTGTTCTCTATCTGTCTACTCTCTCTCTCTCTCTCGCACACACTATCTCTGTTACCTGCCTGCGGTTCTTATCCTTTTTACCTTTTACACACAATATATATAGTTTCCATTGTCGTCGTCGTCGTCGTTCCTTTCACGAGGAAGAGAAGAACCTCCTTTCATAGGTGGTGCATAGAGGTGCCTAGACACATGATGTACACCCATGTTATATATAGGGTCTCTTCCCGGGTCTATTATATTGTATATTATACCTATGCGTACAGAATGTTTCCAAAACATCATAGGATTGTCTCTCTCTCTCTCTCTCTCTTCGGGGCCCCTCCACTTTATTTTTTCATTATATCTCATTATCGATATTGTACTACTACCGCATTTTTGTAGTCAAACATAATAATAATAATACCGTGTGTAAAACAGTAGTGGTGAATAAAAGCGACGACGACGACGATTCTTCAACCCTTTCTTCTTGAGCTATTTTCTTTTCACCCTTTTGTATTTTGTATTTTTTTTTTTTTTTTAATGCGCTCGATTCGCCGTTTGTTCACGAGACAATAGAGAGACACGGTTTACTACTCTTTGATTTTATTATCGTCGTCGTGTCCCTACTTTTGTACACATTGTTCTTGCGGCTGTTTTTACTTTTATTGTAATTTCATTTTTTTTTTTTTTATCTGTTTTCGCTTTTAATTTCCTTTTTTATGCGAAAATAAAACGTACCTACAGCAGTCCCCTCGCACCAATTAATACAACAACAAGCAAGGAAGACCATTATCATATTTTCCATGTGGAGTATATTATTTTCTAGCTTGTAGTCGTGTGCGCAAATTATTATTCGAATAATTGTTTTTCAATTTATTCGAATAATCCAATTTAAAGTCATTCGAATAGTAATCATGTTTGGAATTATTTGATTGAAAAATTATTCGAATAACTTTTAATTGTTCAGGTGACGTTTTTATTCGAACGGTGCACAACTCTGCTTGTAGTGCATTAATTGTAATTATTAGTCGTCTAAACACAATATCAAAAATTTGCCTGGCTTCTTCTGTTTGTATTATCTATTTTTTTTTGATGTCGTTCTTATGCGATTAAGTTTTGGATACTATTTACTACGTTGAACGCTGAAAACTGTGTTTATAAAAAAATCATCCAATCAAGTGGAAGGCAACCGCCGCCCCTATTTGCCCCCCCCCCCTTTGGGACGCCCTCGATAATGGTGATTTTTTTTTTCTCATTGTGATAATTGTAACCGTTACTGTAGTAATCGTGCCCACATGTCGGTGTTGTAATAAACTGACACTGTGTATGTGTACAATATAAATTATTCTCATTTCTCGAGTGCATCATAGGTAATGGCTGAGCCGCCTCGGGGCGCCCCGGCCATGATGTTCGATACATTTATACACATTATTATTATTATTATAATGATGACCACGGCGCACAACACACGGCCGTGTTGTGTTAACCACTATTGTTTTTTACTTATTATATTTTTTTCATTAGCCACTCCCCCCTTACCCGTGGCCAGCGGCCTTGCAACAATACCGTACGGGGCTTTGTCTTTGTGCGTTTGTTGGCGGACGGCGAGGACGGCGGGGGGGGGTGGGTTTACACACGTGAAGAAGATTTGTCTTTTATATGAATTTTTTTTTTTTTTTCGGTTAAAAACCCCAAAAAAAGACCTTTTTCGTCGTCCGTTCGGCATCGTCGGACTGCGCGTTTTGTGTGCATGTAGGCCACACACACAATATGTGCGCATTGTGTCCCCTTCAGAGAGAGAGGAGATCTGTTATTCTTTTTCTCCGGGTGACTCCGAATTACATTACATTATATTATTATATTTTCCTGGAATTTCTACAATATATATGTATATATATATACAACAACGAGAAGAAGAAACCCCCGTGCTCGGTGACGGAGAAAAAAAAAAAAAAAAAAAATACCAATATTAAAATGCCTCTGGTCCTCCTTTCACGTGTACGTATATCCTCTCCCGTTGGCAGGATGGTTCTTCCACGGGCTCTGTCTCCTGCTGGGAGCTCTCTGTGTGTATGTATATATATATATACTAATACTAGCAGAACCTGCCTGTGAAATGCGAAGGCAAAAACCTCACTCTATCCTATCCGTCTTGGCTATCTCTCTCTCTCTCTCTCTCTCGATGTCTCAGCGGGCGGCCGCCGCCCGCCAGCAACGT